TTTTTTTTTTTTTTTTTTTTTAGATGGAGTCTCGCTCTGTCATCCAGGCTGGAGTGCAGTGGTGTGATCTCAGCTCACTGTAACCTCTGCCTCCTGGGTTCAAGTGATTCTCCTGCCTCAGCCTCTTGAGTAGCTGGGATTACAGACATGCACCACCACACCCGGCGAGTTTTCATATTTTTAGTAGAGACAGGGTTTCACTATGTTGGGCAGAGTGGTCTCAAACTCCTGACCTCAGGTGATCCACCTCTCTCAGCCTTTCGAAGTGCTGGAATTACAGGCGTAAGCCACCACATCCAGCCGACACTGAAGTATTTTAAACGGGGTGGTGATAAAATCAGATTATCCCATGCCTGCCAAGTAGAGAATTCTGCAAATGCCCTTGAACCAGACTGACTGCATGACAGAACACCAATGAAGAGGCTAATCCTCTTACTTAGAGAAGACCCGGTTAGGGTATGGGCCATGGGATGGATAGAAGTAGATATCCTTGAGGATATTTACAGGATTGAAATAAGGTTTGGTGATTTAACATGTGTGTGTGAGGAAAACAAAGATTAAAATTATGATTCCTAGGTTAATGGTTGGGACAAAATGAGCTCTAATAAGTTGTCATGTTTGGTTTTGTGGGATTTTAAAAAGTCTGCATACTTAAAGAAATGGAGACATTACTTTTTGTGTAAAGCATTATGTATCATTTAGAATTTAGAAATCTGAAGGAAAGAGAGAGAATTTACTGGTTTACCACAAACAGTATTGTCTTGAAATATAAGGTAGCCTTTTTACAAAAATGTGTGCAAATAAACTTTTTGTCATAGGGGATTTAAAAACTGTCATCCATGCTCTTGGAATAGACCTCTCGTCGATTCACCGAGATACACTCCAGCTTCAGGTCATTTTAATCATAAAGTAGGTAAAGTGGAACAGATTTAATTTAATTCAGTTCAACATGCACTTCTGGGCAATTCACTATGATATAATATGTTATATTGAACACACAGTTTACATAGTTCAAAGGAAAAAACATGAGACACAAGTTAAAGTTTTCAATTTGGGTTCCACAGTTAACTGGTTGACTAGGCCTAAGGATCCCCTAAAATGGAGGCAGCATGATGACAATGCTTGTAACTTCCTGTTTACTTCTCAGCTAGCTGTGAGTTTCTACTATGAATGACTATTTGAGTGTATATGTATATATGCAAATATATGTATATATACACACACATAATGTTACATGGCAACTCAAATTTTCCTAGATATTTCCCATAAATTAAGTTCTTTGTATTTTTTTTTTTTTGCATCTTGTATCTTAATTTCTATTTACCCATAAAAGTATTTCTTTGTTGGGTAGAAAATATGGTATTTTTCTTGTTGGGAGTTTTTCTCTCTGAACCTGATGCTGATGAAACATGAAGGCATCAGGGCTCCCTACTGAGTCTGGCACCTCCCAGAGTGTTCACTGCCTTGCTGAGCCCATGCTTATATTAACAGATTATCCTTGGTTCCCACACACGTCTGCAGGTTACAAGGAACTTAGGAATAAGTATAAGGAAATTAGGCAAGTATGATAAATATTTGATGTCCCACGTGATCCTCCAAAAGTAATTCTTAAGTTCCTTTGTCATTTCCAGTGTAGGAAAAGATCCTTCTTCATCATAAACGGAATGACATAAAGTCTCAGTAATTTTTTTTTTTTTACCTTTTCCCCAACCTTTCCCAGCCATAGGGAAATAATACATTTTGCCTTTTAGAAACTCATTGTCCAGTGGTAAATTATTCCCAACCTCTGATTCTCCTCTTTTAATTTTTCTACTCTTTGCCCTCGATATTTGATGTCCGCTGGTTTTTATATATCAAGTGGATGGATGAAATTAAAACAAATTTTATTTCATATTTTTAAAAAGGTTTACTCTGGCAGCAATTTTTACTGCCAATTTAAAGGACATTTAGAAATTATTTGTATGTGTTATTCATACTATCAATGTCCCATTAGCTTATATTGTTGAAAATCTGCTGCATCACCGAGAGATTAAAAAAATACAACCATGCATGCATAAAAATAATGACCATTCATTACCCCTTGACCAGCACACATTTTCACCAAGGCTCTGTTTTCAAGGTTAATTTGAGGATAGATGGAAAAAAGCTTTAAAGCGCTGGAATTTTCTATGGCAATCAAAAATCAGAGAGGTTAAGTCTGGGTGATATAACAATAGGTTTTAGTTAAAAGGTTTACTTGCTTGAAATACTGACCTCTCAGTCATCCCTGACATCTTCATGAGGGAAGGTTTCATTGATTTTACATGCCAACAGCTCATTAGGAATATAGCATAAGGAAAATAAATTACAAAGTCAAAAAGTTGAGCAAGGTAAGTAAACGCTGTAGCAAACTCAATGCAAGTTCCCCACTTTATTGTTTTCTGTACCTTTTTCAAGTAACCAAGTCATTCAGTGGAAGATAAAGTAAAGGATGAAGGCATGACCTGGAGTGGCCACGTGGGTATTGATTGAGAACAATAACACGACACCAGATTAGTCTAGTGCTCAAATGTGTAAACATTTTAGGGTTATGGTAGTTTTTATGTAGCAATCATATTGATATATGATATATTTTTCCTAGAAATAAGCTACTAAAACAGAAATTTAAGATTCTGATATAATTAGAAGATATTATTCAGGTAGATGTATGGTTATAGATAAGAAAAACTTTTATAAAATATTCTGAATACAAGTAGAACTTATTTGTAATAATATAAGCTATACTTGTCAATCAAATTCCTACAGTATTTGTCATTTGGAGATACTAATGATAATAAGATGCACTGCACTTCAGTCTTTAAAATATAATTGGATATTTTGAGATATTAATAGTGAGCGCAGACTGGAATAGATTGGCAAAAATCAGATATATTGCCCTTATCAAAAATACAGGCAAGCAAAGGGTGCAAAGCAGAAAAAGTAGGAGATATTCTGCATGGCTCCCCAGGTTCTTTCTTCCCACACTGGAAATGCTGATTCTGTCTCCAAGGAGGGTTTCATAGGTTTACTTCTCACCACAGGGAGGATTTACATTATGAAACGTTTCCATTTTTACCCTAAAAAACGTAAAGCTTCAGGACATTTTCTGAGGAGCCACAAACCGTTAATCCATAGATCTTGGGTTTATTTACTACAGTATTTCTTTAGCCTGGGATATCCTGCTAAGGGATTTCCCACCTAGTAAATATTACTAGTCTATTTACCTGGAGTTCCAGTTGTCAGGGAAATTAGACCCAACCTTCACCCTCAGTTGCTGCCCTGTCCACACACCAGGGAAAGGAATGAATACATTCTAGACCAGCTGCTTTAACTTTTTTCTCCCCAAGCTAACCAATGAAATGTAACTGAGTTGACATTTGCAACAATATTTTCCAAAGCCATCTAAATATTTAAGCATATAATACTTTTTGGCAAACCCAGTGAATTTTCATTAAAAAACAAGATTATGCCAACTTGTGAACTAAAAATCCTTCAGAAATAAAGAATTAAGTAACAGTGGAAGTAATGATGATAATAATAATAGTATTTAAGCTCTCACCACATGTCAAGAACTTTTCAGTATTCTGTACATGAATTATAAGAATCAGAATAATCTTCTAATGTAGGCACTGTTATTTTCCCATTTAACAGATCTAGTAATTGAGGCATAAATGAAATGGCTTAGCCTGGTTTACACAGCTAGTAGGTCCTGAAGCCATTCATGAAACCCAGGAAGTGTGACCTATCTTCTTGACTGCTAAATCGTATATGAAAAGAGTATTGACATATCAAATGCACTAGGATTTTTATTAATAAAACCAGATAATAGTTTGGCTGATTAGGGAATAATAGTGAAGAATTAATTTTGTTGATTATTACTGTTATAAAAATACAATAGATTAAATATTAAAATTAGTGATTCAAGTAGGAAAACATCAATCAAAAATAGTTTATTGAATTCATCATGAACTTTGCATCAGGTGATTGGGCTACAAGGCACAGATGGAGTAGAAGGAAAAGCAAGCAGCATAATATTAATACCAGACGGAAAAGTCTGGAAACAGAGTTGCAGGTTATGTCAAGTGAGATATATTTAAATACCAACATCTTAGAGGTGATAAGTAAAACAATTTACAAAACTGAGATCATTTGTTTTCTAAATAAATGTCATTACCAGGCCAAAATTTTAAGTTAGACATATTTTAGCATTGAAGTGACTGGGAGTGTGATTTTCATTGGTAAAATCCTAAATAATATGAAGGCTGATAAACTAAACTGAGAAAAGAATGATAAACAAGAAAGAGAGAAGTATGACCTACATTGCCATCTGTTGGATAAATGAACATCTGTCATGTTGAATGAAAGATGAAGCTTGGAATTCCCAGTGAATCTCAACAGCCAGCACTACCCGTTAAGAGCAAAAACAGATTTCAAGCCTAATTTAGCTTTCTTTTATTTTTGATTTGGAAAATATATTTAAAGAAGGTGCAAAATAATAAGCCTCTAATAATCTAGAAACCATGGATTTTAAGATCCCCAGGTATAATTTTAGATCAAATTTGAATGGAATTGTGCTAGAACAAAGAAGATTGTTGATATCTATCTTAAATAGATTTTATGCACTATGGAAACATCTTGTTTTCTGACTAATGGATCCATTCAAGTCACAAGGTATGGTGGCAAAAACTTGAGCCTGAAATTTAGTCTGAGCTCTAACATGGTTTCATTTTGAGAAGTCAGTTGACTTTTGGGGTCTAAATTTCTGTTTTTATGAAAAATAGATGAGGTTGGATTAAGGAATTTCCAAAGTTAGTTCAACTATACTCCTGTTTATGCTGTGTACCTATTTTAAAAAGCGGTCTGTTAAAACTGCATACTTTATTATTTCATAGATAGAAGTAGATTTCCTAGAACTTCCTTTTATGTTTATTTATTTTTTTTTACTTCTGAAATTTTACATCAGTATCTGTTCTCTCCTTTAGGGTGGAGTTAGTGGGTTGACTGGAGAGCTAGAATTTGGAGAAAATGGAGGCAATCCCAATGTCCATTTTGAAATCCTTGGAACCAACTATGGAGAAGAGCTTGGCAGAGGTGTTCGCAAAGTAAGATAAGACATGCTGATTAATATGCTTTTTCCTGTACTATGGTTTTGCTTGATTGTTTTCCATGCAATACGATCACAGTACCCATTAAAGTCAATATTGTAGTTTGAAAGAGAAAGCAGGGTTGGGGGGAAATTAGGCATTGAAATGACTTTAAATATTTATTTACCAGAAGTATTAAGCAAGAAATTCAATTTCTGACTTAGAATAATGTAAAGGAAAAAAAGTAATCTGAATCTTGTCTAGGGAAATAGCATCATCTTTCATTTGTTATAATAGAAATTTTTATAAAATAGTAAATTTAATATTTATACAATTTGTAGCTGCTTGATTTTTAACTTGCAACATGTATAAAATGAGAATAAGAGCTTGGATAAATTTCATATAGTAAGACAGAAAGTCTACTGCAAGATGTGACATTACAGTATCTTACCTTCTGTGTGTGTCATGTAATATGAAGAAAATAGTTTGCAGAAAATGAACTCTCGTTGTATACTACTTATCACATGTAAGAAGAAGCTGAGTGCCAATAGTGGTGTTTCATGAAATACTGGAATGATAACTTTCTCAAGGAGAAATACAAACGCCCTTATATAAATGATGTTTTTATACACACACACACACATATGTGTCTCATGTATATGATTTGGATTTCCTGTATATATATATAGCAAATATGCATATATATTTATATATATAGCAAATATGCATATATATTTATATATAGCAAATATATATACAGCAAATCCAAATCATATATATATACACACACACGCACACAAACATATATATACACACATATATATGTGTATATATACACACATATATTTGGTAGGGAAATATATCAAATCATATATATATATTTGGTAAGGAAAAGCCTAACATAATTGAGTGTATATGCAGAGCTGGTAACCGTAAATTTCTAACTGTCTAAAGTTGACTACATTAAGGGTAAGAGGTTCTTCAGTAGGTATTTAATGCTGAGATGTAAGATGCAAAACAACCTAGACAGAATGAAGTGAGGAGTTATTAGCAATACAAATTTCTCAATAAATTCATGCTAATGTGGATGAAACTATCCTGATGCATTTTAAATTTTTGTTTTATAGTGAATAATATGAAATATATAGAAAACTGCATAAAACTCAAAGTTTAGTGAATTATTTTAAAGGAAAAAACCTTTACTATGGTCAAGGAATATAAAATAGCCAGGATTCTCAACACTCTCATATGCTTCTCTCTGATTACAGTCAGACCATCCTTATCCATAGTGTAATATTTAGACTGATTTTTATGATGCTAATTTATTTGCATTTAAAATATATTTTTATCACCTGTGTTTACATCGTTATATAATTGTTTTGTCAATGTCTCAACTTATGAATGGTCTCAAGAATGCATATATCCTTTTTTTCTTGCTTCTTGTGTTCAACAGTATGTTTATGTTATTGATCCTTGTTACTTGGAGTGGCAGTTTATTCATTTATATTGCTGTATTGTTTTCTATTGTATGGATGTGTCTCAAACCACTACAGTTTCCATTTTTAGACTGCTGTAAGCTGCTGTTACAAAAATTCTTGGATATACATCTTGGATACTTTTATGCTTGTAGGTGTATTTCTGTAGGTTTTGTATCCAGAGGTAGAACTGCTGCAATACAAGAAACCATATCTTGAACTTTACCAGATAACATCAAACCCATTTTCATAGTAATTTACTAATTTACATACCACCAGCAATGCAGGCATTGCCCCACATTCTAATCAAGTCTTGAATGTGTAAGACTTAAAATTGTATTAACTTATTGGGTGTATATAATGATATATCCTCATGATTTCTATTTACATTTCCCTGATTATGAAAATGTCTGCATCTTTTCCTACATATTTAGGCTCTTCAGATGTTTCTGAGTTAATTGCTTATTTACTTTTTTTTTGGCTTTTTTTGGAGGGGGTGTCTTTTGCTTTTTATAATGGATTCTAGAAGTTATGTATATATTCTGAATTTGAGTGTTTTATCATTTAATTTTTTGCCAGTTTTGTTTTCCTCTCTGTGGATTTTATTTCAATGCCATTTATAGTATCTTTAAATGAATTTTCGTCCTTCTTATTATTGCTGTTCAGTATTATCTAAGAAATTACTCCCTATCCCCCAGAGTCATGAAGATATTATGCTCAATTATGTTCCAGGTATTTTATAGTTTTGCCTTTCAAATTAATGTCTTTTATCTATCTAGAAGATTTTTATATATATGAGGTGAGAAAAAAGTAAAATTTTACTCTTCAATACTCTTCATTTGTTTTATTGAGATATAATTTAAGTGCACAATGACTTAGAGTAATCGCATTCACCAGTTTAACCACTCACAAGGTCAAGTTACAGAATGTTTCTGTCACTCAGAAAGTGCAATTATTCCTGTTTTTATTCTGAGAACCACGGACAGTTTGCTTGGTCTGAAAGTTTATATAAATGGATAATTAGTATTTACACATTTGTGTCTTTTTTCTCTCAACATTTAAGATACATTCTCATTTTCATGTGTCAATAATTTTGCTCGTTTGTCTTTTAATTTATATTGCTGAGTGGTATTATAGTCTATGAATGTAATATGGTCTCTTCTAAAATGTCATTTTCTGTTTGCTGCTGTGTATACAAATAATATCGATATTTTATATTGATGTTATATCCAACACTCTTGCTCAGACCTCTAATTCTGATAATTTATCTGTAGATTCTCATGAATTTTCTGCAAATTGTCTTGTCATTTGCAATTAATATGAGTTTTTGTCTCTTCTTTTGTTATTTTACACCTTCTAGGGATGATGTTGAATGGAAATAACAATAGTAGGTATTTTTGGATCGTTATCAATCTCAGAGAAAAAACAGTCAACACTATACCACTATACTACTATATATTCATATATTTATAATTAACTTAGATCAGTTTAAGGAAGCTCCAGACATTCCTGGGATATTTTTATATAGAATTATTTATACATACATAAAATTATAATTATGCTTATGTTTACATAATATTATTTGATTTGCTACCATCTTGCATAAGGGTTTTATATTGATACTTACGAATGAGGTCTCCTAAAGCTGTCCTTTCTGTTGGATTTTGATGCTAAGGTATGCTGGCCTAATTTAAATGAGCTAGTAAGGTGAAGCATCCAGAATTGTGTCTAGTACATCACAAGAAGTTGTGGTTAATTTTCATTAATGAGTGAAATTTCAGTAGAGGAGTAATGCCATATGTTTAAATAGCAACACTAGAAAAGTTAAAAAAAAAAAGTGAATATTTTGGGTAGTAATTAAATGGCTTTGTGGAGTTTTTGGGAGAGATCTTTTACAGTGTAAGAGATTTGGGTATATTTGAATGCTCACAGACCAAGCCAGTAGTGAAGAAGAAAATGAAGATATAGGAAAGAAAGGTGATCATTGATAGAGAAACAGTAGAGGGAAAGAGAGGATTGGATCAAGAATTAGACTGAGTTCTTAACTGTAGGCACCGGGGAACATCATTTTCCAGAGTGCTGAGGGGTGGGGGTAAGAAAAGAATGCTGTGTTTGCAAGCAAGTCTTTATGTTTGATGTTAGGAAGTTAAGACAATTGTTAAGAAATAGTCTTTTCTTGAAGAAGTAGGAGGCAAGATTATCTTCTAATTGGGAAAATGTAGCAGAAGGCATTGGCAATAGTGAGACTGGAGGTTTAACGACAGTGGAGAAGTTTCGAAATAGCTGCTGTGGCAAACAGGAGAGGTGACTAGGGAATATTGAAGAAATGCTAGGCAGGGCTGTTGGCTCACATGAGGCTAGAGATCAAGAAATCACTGTGGTACTAATCTATACATTTGCGGATGTTTGTCCACCAGCATTGAGCAGACTGAATAAATTTAAATTAATGTAGACTTAACACTTCATCAGGTTATTTTTGTTTTGGGTTGTGTTGCTTTGTGTTTGATAGCAGTACAATGAGGCAGTGAGGTTAAGAACATTGACAAGGCGATGGTTGAAGTGACAAAGCATAAAATCTAAACTGAACATGAATGGCAATGAAGAAAGAAAGAGTCTCTATAATAGAAACAAAGTATGGCTAAGAGGTTACTGTGTCTTCAGCACATCTGAAGAGCTTGTATATTAATATGGATGAAGTGAGAGAGCTTCAGAGCCAGAAATTATGGTTGGGGAGAGAGATAACTGAATTCATAATCCTAAGGCTGAGTAGGTTCTAGGCACTCATCATGGGATGTTTGTGAGGGTGGCAGAGGAGAGCTTCATTTAGCCTTCTAAAATCAGTGCCATTTAACCAAGTTCTGAGGTCAATATAGCTGCTTCAACCTGCTCTGAATTCAGAGTCTATAACGGTTAAATCTCTGCCATTAAAATGATAGTGAATCATACACATTAGATTACATCTACTTTGTCTTTAAGTAATAACTCCTGTAATTATTTCATTGTTAATATTCCTATGCCACAACTCCCAAACTGGACTGAAACGCTCCTGTGAGCGGGCACTATAGAGGTATTGTGAAAGGCACTATAAATATTTACTCTATGGTGCCTTGTATACCTTTGACACTTTAAAATTTTTTTGCATTGTTTTAAAAATTTAAGCATTCTTAATTTTGAAATTTTCATTTTTATAACTCAATTATTTTTCTACTAAGCTGCAATTTAATTACTAATTTTTTTAAAAAACTCCAGATCTAGTGCTTAAGTAATTTTAAAAGTATTATGGACTATTTCATAGCTTGCCAGCTCATTTCATAAATGAGGCAGTTCCTTTGCAAAGCTATTAACACATATAATAATGTGTTCAAAGATACTTATCAAAGGAAAATAACACCACACAAATAATTGCAGTATAGATTTACTAGATGTGTGTCCAAAATGAAGGTTCCACTCCCAGTTTCTCTATGTCTCAAAAGGAGTGAATGGTTTGCCAATTGACGAACTGTCAAGTTGTCAGTGTTGATTCTGCTGCCAGTGGCTCAGTGT